TATATATATATATATATATAACTTTTATAAATATGTATAATAAATTTGCATAAAAAATATAAAAAATAGTAAATTATTTATATAAATTGTTTATGTAATAAAAACTACTTATATTATATAATAAGAACTGTAAATGCGTCATGCAAACATTTTTCAAATACAATTTTTCTCTTGACTGTTCTTCCATATACATAATAACGTAGCATGAATGTAGAAAAGCATTAAGTTAACCATCTGTGTAATGTTAATAATTACACGAACCTGTGTAAAAGGCAGTGGCTCTGACGTCGCACCGCAAGCTCCACAGACGCTTTGCTCGACAAGCGTCATGGCAAACTTTTGATGTGGCACACAATGTCTCGCGCTGCACATATCTTCAGCCTCGCCGCTTGCAATGTGGAGATGTATACGTAAGAGAATGTTTTCCTAAAATTGAGAACTGTACATTAGCGAGCATTCCTTCGTCTTTTCTGTCGCAACTCGTAGCCGCACTTGTAAGGCCAAGTTAAAGAGATATATTTATTTCCACTATTCGTGTGTAATTCCAGAAAATAAACTATGCTATTTCAACAAAAAAGTTAATGATTGTCGTCTATTAATTTAACTTAATACGTAATGATAAAAATACGCTAGCTAAAGCTCGCTATTGCTTAGTTTGATAAGAATCTTACGTACAAGAATATTCACAACAACGGTATGAGGCCACGATTATATTACTGTCCTTGCATCTATTGTGCGCATTTTCGCTGTGTAAGTACCAAGTTGCATTGGTATTATTCAAACCGACTAGTATTGACATACATACGGACATACTAGCGTCCAACGTGACCGTTGTGTAAACGAGAAAGTAATATAGCAGTGGTACTGGCAAGACTCAGTTAAGATCATTATTGCTAGTTCAATCTCGTCCATAACGAGGCACCATTAGCAACATTCGATCAGCTTCGAAATATTCAATAACGAAAATAATGACTTTCTCCCCCTTCTAGAGCAAGAAGAAATCGATTTCTCTGAGATTGATTTGATTTAATTCGATTATATTTGACGGCTGGATCTTTATATCTATCTATGCCATCGAAACTTTTGCATTATTAGCAAGAAAGTTCAATCTCTCTTCTTATTCTGATGGAATATATTTATATAAATTTTTCTTAATTGCAGATGTATTATAGATTTATACTTCGCGTCTCTTACAGTGTCTCGTTTGAAAAATCATTTCAGCGATCTATCGAGAACGCGATTTATCGAAGATAATAAGTAAAAAGCGCGTTTTAACTTTAGCGCGTTCAAGTCTGACCGTTTGGCAATTGACGGATTGCATTATGCATATCGATATCTCAGGCATGTTTCAATCAGGCATGTGAAACAACAGAAATGTTGGTACTTACGAAACATTCCGCCGCGTCGTCCATGAAACCCAGCTGAAATCTCTGCTGATCGAGAAAACTCTCAGCCAGCGCGCGGCGCAATGTGTCGGGCGGCAGAGCGCTCTCTTGCGAAAACTGCAGCTGCGAGAACAGGTCCTGAAACAAGACAATGTGACGAGGATTTAATGCGGGAGTCATCAAAGAAGATTTCTTGCCACCGAGTCTCGTGAACGCCAAGAACGCGCCGACGAGAATCATCGCGAAACATAAATACATTGGTAAACGACATAAGTAAACGAACATTTTATTATACAAATATGTGTATAATTTTATTTCTTTATGCATATAACAAACTTATTATATAATTAATATTTAGTAGAATGCTTTTTAACTTAAATAAAAATTTAAAGTTTCGTATAGTACTATAGATGTGTGTGTCTTCCTTTACATGTGTCTATTTATCTTTGTCAATTTAATATAAGTATGTTGCTTTACAAGTATCTACAGATATCGATAAAGCAAATCAATAAATGAAATAAATTTTTATCATATTATATTATATTATATGATGCAAATGTAACCGTAAATACATTTTTTTACAAATATTTTGCAAATAAATAAAAGCGAGAAAAAGAGAGACAGAGAGAGAGAGATTAATTTAAATTTTCTTGTACGGAGTTACGTGAGTCCTTACGTCATCGCCGATAAAACCGTTGGTTCTGTGATAAAATCGCATGTAACGCTAAACCTACCGCACTGCTCTGCTTCTTTCGTTTCCCTAATCAACATATCCACAAGATAATCGGACGCTGCAGGTAATTCCGCGAAAGCGATTTTGCAACGAGAGGAGACGAGTAAAGGCCTGGAGACATCGACCACACGACGTTACCTCGAGTTTTCCGTTGCCGTATGCCATCATGGTGCATGGCAGAGGTCAAATAGAAATGCTACGCGGACCGGTCGTAATTTGCGATCTATCAGCAGCAGCCGGGCTTTAGCAGGTTTCGTAACTAGCCCTTACGCGATTGATGAGCAGTAGATGAGTTACATGTATAGAAAGTCGGTGCATCATTCGAGATGTTTGTTTAACTCAATATTTCGACAAAAATATCAAATGTGGAAAAAAAAATGAAGCAGAACAGTTTGTAACGGAAATCACGATACAATGAGTTACGAATCTGTTTTTATAACTTGCAAAAAAATCTGATAGATATGTTATATGATGAATGAAACGAACAGAATGATAGAGAATAACATAAGACAGATTCAATTTCTATAATGGTGTTTAAATGATTCAGTCGGAGTTTGTATCAGTCATGCTGTTGTGTTACGTCTGAGGCGGAGACCTAGTACACTATGTCAATTCGCGTCTGCAGTGAAATTCTTCAATGAAAGTTACTGCATATCGTGTACTGGTAACGATGACGGTAGTGACAGATGTGTTACGTGCCCCGGTCGACGTAAAAGCGATTATACGTAGTAACGGCATGTCTCGCATGTATATCGGGAAGAGAAGGATATCGCACCTGTTCGAGACAGCTTTGACGCCCGATAAAGAAGAAACCGACCGGTTTTAGTGTACGCATCAGAAATTGCGTTAGATCGAGCGAGATCGTGGAATGAAAGCGAACGGTTTCATCGGTCATTAATTCTAGTTATATACTTTTCGAAATATATCTATTCTATAAAAAAATGATCGTTAAAAAAATAGCGGATAGCTTTCAATATCATTAATATTTTATGTGCTTCTTATAAAAGAGAGAGTAAATTATAATTACACACGCGCGTTGAAATCTTCGCATGATCAAACATTCTCAAGCTACGGTACATAATAATTTGAGAGAAACTATACGCGTGTGGATTGTCTTAAGAAATCTTGTCTTATGCCGGCCTAATGATTATATTCATTATAAATAAATTAATTAGAGTTACTTTTGTTATTAAGAATATCTATGATCCTCAAAGAATTCTAATGCGCGACTCTCTAAATTAATTCTAGATTATTGAAGAAGTCAACAAGGCGTACTTTTTTCAGATCACTCAGCTCGATATTGCATACTGAGTCTTCTCTCTCCATACCGCTGTCTTCGCCTTCCTCTTCTTTCTTAACTTCAGCTTCAACTCTCGTCTCATCGTCTTTTACTTCCCGATGAGATCCGGGTAACGTCGGCGTCGTCGACACGGACGTCGTTGCCGACGCATTCTGACGAACTTTTATCCACTTCAACATTTTTTCATTTTATACATTCAAAGTTAGACACAGGCGTTCAACTTCGTCGTCTTCTCTATTGATTCGCTCTACAGTTCTGTGAATACATCGCGGTTATCATCGAAAATCGTCGAGTAAATTTATATTGCAAAGATTTTATGAATCCGTTCGAACGCGCCAAAATCGAAACGAAAACATCGTGCAAGATGAAATATCCTCCAGGGCAGGTTAAAAACAAATACAAACTCCCACTCAGCAGAAAACTCTTTGTGATTCTTGGCACGATAGCGTTGTTTGCAGTGTCTACACGCGACACATTACACGTCAGTCTGATAATATCCCTTGGTTACACTTGCTGTTACTTTACACTGTACTTTCCCTTGTATTTAGTCTCTTCCTTCTTCGATCTTCCTTCTTTTCAGGCAAAAATATATATATACGTTGTTATCTCTTCTGTTTGCCATCTCGAGAGGTTTGGTATTCCTTACGAGTTGCGATAATTGCGTAGTAAATACGTGATAAAATTAGGGACAATGACCGCTTTTAGTGTACAACCCTCTCTATTTTTTATTGAAATATTATTTTTTTATTTTTTTTATTTTTGAGCAGAGATTTCTCGACGATGTGATAAATATTATAAACGTTATTCTATGATGTGAGACTTTACGTAATAAACTTGTAATCGCAGGCGCAGAAGATCAGATAAACAAGAGAGCGTTTAAGAACACGATACGACGAAGAAGAGAGACGCGAAGGTTGACGATGAGCAAGCAGTTATATCTTAAGCGAGAGTCAGGCAGATGCCTAAAGAATTATATGCAGCAATTGCATGCCGGATATGCTGGTTGGTAGAAACCGTTGCCAGATGTATCGAAACACTTGTTTAGCCGGTAAAGCCATCTTTTAAATTCGCAAACTTAGCGTATATATATTGTGATAAGCTCGCAATCCTTTTATTCACGTCTCCAAGAATCCTCAGAGATTCTATAGGTAATGTTGTTAAAGGGCTCGTCCACGTTCGCCAGAGAGCAATCCGAGAAGATTTTCCGTTGGGAGAATTCAAAGCGATCATACGGTAAACTTGCTCGGAAAAATTTCTCTTCAAGTTTCGCTGGATATTTATAAAGATTATGTTAAAATTCCTCTATACGAATAAAATTGCTTCTCTGGATATTAACGATTGAATTGAATATTGGCATAAAGTCATCTTGTTCCATCTCGATGTACCACGTGCTTCTTTCGTTCCATTGCATTAACTTCTCAACGAGAAGCAACTTTCTTCTATCATAAATGCTCACTGCTCCATATCTTTATCCCTTAATATTCAATGAAAATTATATGCACTGTCCACTATTGTTATTTAACTACACAAGACTTATGCACAGAAGAGATGATATATCATCACGGAACAAGATTACGTCGCAAGTTTATTTCCTGGCTAACAGCTTCCGCTCCAGTTCCGGATCATGAAGAAGCGCGAGGATGGAAACGTTTTCCTGCGCATAGTTTCGCAACTTGAACAACACGATCGCGCGGTGAAACGTGGAGAAAGACCACAGAACTACCTGCCTGCACGCGGTGCCGTGCACCCGTACCTGAAGCCAGCGACTCACGGTGTACTGGCGAATAACTCCCACCCTCTTTCCTGGTTCTTCTCGTCTTTCTCTTCTCTCTAAGAGACCATACGGTGTCCCCTTTCTCTCTCCATCCCACCTTCTGATAGACCCAAGGAGCCAATGACGTCACCCGTTTAGCTATCTTACGTTCACCTACCTACCTGAACGACCAGCAGCCCAATCAGGGCTGTAACTCCTTGCAACGATCCATAGGGACGACTCGTTTTTCCGGAAAAAAATAAACCGGATGATAAATCGTCCAATCCGTCGTCCTTCCATGAAAATTCGCATTTATTTATTTTTTTTTTGCCGTTGGAAAAAATCTCCACTACGCGGTAATTCGTTATAATGCGATGTATTTTTAAGTTAATTTTTTTATGCATCTTATCGTGATACTGTGACGTTTCGCAAATAATACATAAAGCATAATAGAAATTCGAAATAATATTTTGCATCGATATTTTTCTCTCTCTCTCTCTCTCTCTCTTCCACTAGAAATCTAAAATATTGATGCTTCCTTATATAATTACGATTAGTCATCCAAGTCGAACTGTCAAATTTAACGTCCCTCGTAGGCGACTAACATTCGTGTTCCATTCCTGATATTCATCTAGCGGAGTTGCGAGAGTCCTGAGGAACGACTACATTTGGTCGTATGAATATATGTACAGAGTGTTAATAAGTTGTAAGGAAGATATGATGTAATACATCGCGCCATATAAGAAACAAATACGATTTCGCTATCGTGTACATTCTCATTAATATAAGCAATATACACACATGAGATTTGACGACGAAATAGTGAAATATGACGAGTATAAATTGAATCGTGAATAATACGATTGAATTCAAACTGAGAAACCAGGGTACTTTATTTAATTATTACTTGTAAAATTGTGGCGAGTTAATGCCACATAGTATCGAGCAGGAAATTACGTCGATTAAATCTTGGCGGTATTATTTAATCAAGAAGCGTAGGCACTTGTAGCGTAAGTGAAGTAGCTATTTACGTAGGCTTAGAACATTTCCTCCTTCGTTTGCGAGACAGAATGCAGATTTATTAAAGTTTACTTTGTAGAGCGCTCGACTTTGAACGAGTATTTAAATGGTAACAGTAACCTGCCTGTGCTTTCGATATGTCACTGTGTAAAAAGATTCAGCAGTCGAATTAAATTTCCTTAATAATTTCTTGGAGAAAGTATCTTGATCTTATTAATTTAGATAATAAGATGCAAAATAAAAAAAGAGTGTTATTAAATATAAAATATAACATTAAATGAAAGTTAAAGAAAAGTAATTTGAGTCGCTGCTGAAGATTCCAGAACATAAGAATTCAAAGAAATTATTGGCATCAACCATAAATGATTCTATAATAGCGGGAAATTATCTCAGATGTCCGTAACTAAAGTAGTAATCTATATAATATGTGCGACAAATTATCGCAACATTGGTCGCGGGGTTAAAAAGGTTATAGATTGCGCCTTCAACAAGATTTATTAAATGTACCTTAAATGTAACGATTTGCACTCTTTATTTAATATATTATTTGTAAAATATTATGAATTGATTTCTCACATATACAGAGTATTGAACAGGAAATTACGTCGGTTTTTTAGGTGTTGTTTAGCAAATGATCTTAATTGATGGTTCTCAAAATTATATATGCAGTCAACATTCATCATTACCATCTAACTAACTGTATTTAGAACACGAAAGCAAAGATGTAAAAATTATGCTTGTAAGCACTGTTGATATGATATGTGCTATTAGAGACAATATACGGTTCATATCACACAGTTGCATCGAAATTTCATAATGCTAGGCTTGTATAATTTTGAACATTTTTCCTGCTCTTTAAGAATTGTAGATAAGTAGACAGGAAATACTTTATGGAGAAATATCGTCGCATAAATAATCATAAAGGTAAATTACATTGTTTGCACAACATTAGAAATTCTATTCTCTTCCTGGGTTAACTAAAGCAATGTAACTTGGATCGGGCGCTGATAAAAAACAAAGTGTTAAGGGTATTTATATAAATTAAAATAAAAACAAACATAATTAACAAAAATTGCAAAATTTTGTTGGGAAATATATTCTTAATATGCGCATTGTTTAAAAATTAATACGCAAGGAGGAGGATCGTGTCACGTGGCTAAGGAATCTCGTAACATTAAAGAATTCACGCCCCCTCCCCCAAAATGCGTTCACGATGAATCATCTTAGGCATTCCATTAGGGTTAAATTCCTTGTTCAATATAGATGCTGACCCTCGAATGGGTATGCAAGAACGTAATCTTTTTATTTGAAAATCTTCTTCTTTGCCTATATAATAATTTTGATTAAAAAGATAAATAGAAATTAATTTTAAAAATTCAAGATTTCAGTTTCATAGACTTACTTCTGTTTTATTATTAACTTAAAAATATATTAGTAACCATGAAATTTATTTACAAACAAATTTATCTCTCTACACACGTTGTAGAAATAATTATCGAGAAATTTTATGCGTTTCAATAAGATAAAAGATTGTCTAAATGCCTCTTGAAAAGATGTCACGACGCTTATTTCGAAAAGTGTTCTGCATGATACCTTGAAAAACTGTTTTGTGGCGATAAGCGTGTAACAGGTAGATTTTCTATGATATATAATAATTACTAGTCTGCGTAGTGCGTAGAGTTTAGACTGTCTTATGTAAGATATACCAAGGATAGATCCTAAAACCTGCGTAAAAGCCCTTGGCATGTCCCAGACATTAAGATACAAGCCCGCTCAACAAAACTATCTCAAGTACTAAATTTTTTCTTTATCCTAAATATATGTATATAATATAATTATTCCAAATTGAAATGTATTATATAATGCAAATAAATAATTCACTGACAAATAATAGTCAACGATATTTACATTCAATGCAAAGTTCAGAAAAACCAAATAATAAAATCTGAAAATATTATTTATCATTATTTACATTTACATCACACGATTATCATCAAACGGGTTATCATAAATTGCATAATACTTATGTCAAAATTGTCAAGTGCTGTAATGAGCGAGAAAATGAGTTTTAGTGTTAGTTTCGAATCGCGGTAATTTTGGGCGAAATTGCACCGCTTGAAAGACGAATCTGGTAACACGAGGCGTACTCCAACCGGTGATTGTTCTTGCGAATCGTGCCCGGTACCCTACGCCTCGAGCAATTATCTCTCAAGATTACTAATTAACCTCGTGAGATCGGTGAGTAACTTGCATTTCCACCTACTTCTCGAGTTGCCTCGAATATGCGATGTTACCGAATACCGTCTACATGCTTCGTAGCTCGCTCCTTCTGGTGATGAACGAGATTGCTGACCTTCCATGATAAAAGCAGACAATGTCTGCCACGATGGACCGAGGCAACGGTTATCCTGCGGCGTTCTTCGCCAATCATAGACGAAAATTGAGAGAACATCATAGGCAAAAAATCCGTGAAGCATAAATCCCGTTAAAATGGTTAGCCATATCTCGACGTGATCGCATAGAACGCGACAGAGAAAATGATACGATAGCAAATAAAATCAAGGTTTTTTTTCGATCTGTGCAACACTAGAGAAAGAAAGCAATTAACTATATACTAGAAATATACAATGAGCGTTATTAATGTCTTTCACTTCCCGTTTAAGTATTCCTGTATTGATGGCATTGCATACAGATATTCGTGCGTTAAAAAATATTAATAACGCCTATTGCACTGTCGCAAAGTTTGTTAATAATATTTCACATACATTTAGAGAGAGAAAGAGAGAGAGAGAGAGAGAGAGAGTATATTAAATATTAATTTAAATATGCTTATAAAAGTTGAATGATGCAACAAAATTAGTAGGAAAGTTATAGTAAACAATGAACAGACTAATGCAAACTTAACTTCTTCGTTGTAAATATTGCTCGAGTAAATTATTCGTTTGCATCGTAGATTCAGTATAAATATTTCAGCGCAAAGAGAATAGCTTGCGCGTTGAATAGAAAATAATTAGCTTTGCCTTTTCCTCAGTAGAGTAAAACATCAGGATATTTTATCACATCCCATTTTCATTGTTGCTGTGAGATTATTTCCAGATGATCTTCTCGTTAAATTTTATACAGCGTAAAACTTATCCGGAAAAAGTTTCTTCTTTGTGCGAAAATTATTCAAGGTTCTGTTTCCCTTTGTTGGATGCAAAGCCGCAAGAACTCATCGATACGTAAAAGTGTCAAGGTAGCGCATTATAAAAACCAGCTTAAGACATTTGTCGTTACAGGCGCAACTACTGTAATCAATCACGTTGTACGTTGTAACTAAAAGTTATAATTGAGAGGAAGACAAAGGGACAAGCGGTTGATGAATATTTAGCTTTGAAAGTTCTACAAGCAACTTCTCTGTTCGTGTACTTTTGTCTCAAAATCAATGTTGTCTCTTTAAAATTGATTAAATTACATATAAAAAATATATTATACATATAATAGACATAGAGATGGTATTTTTATTACGGAAATTAGTTTCTTTCGCAATTGTTTGATTCGCTTACCTTAAGTGCGCAAAAGATGCAAGATTCTCGCATACAAGCATGTCCGGAAAGTTCTCTGAAACTCCGTCGAAAAATGTCAAGATGCCACAGAACCTGAAATAAAATCAGAAGAGCTTATGATAATTTTTTCACATAAGTATACTTACTCAAATAAAAATTTTTCAGAAAATGTCTAGCAAAAATAAATATCTTATATCTGTAAAATAAAAAGTTATATTTCTTTCTCTCCTCCCAAAATTTTATATTTATTATTATTATTATTGATTGTATAACATTTATCATTCTCAAAAGATTATAAAGTCTACACGTACATAAGCGTACCTACAATTTGACAATTTTAGCAATTATATATATTAATTTGCTCTGTCAAATTATACGCTATTAGTCGTTACGTGCATGACTAAATTTCGGCATCGGCTCTGAATGAATTTATCGTATCCTTTGCATTAGCATGTACGGCGTCGAGACAAAAAAGGTAACACGTGGGTGCACACGTAACACAAACGAACATGTAAATGTATCGGGACCCTCTATATGGCATCGATCTACACCCATATACGACAGTAACCCAGTGTATCATGAGCGCATTATTATACCGGGGGAAAGTAAATCACGATTTCCGTACTCATGTCCTGCCGTATAGCGGAACATAACTTCCCTTTTCCTGCGTCACAATGTGAAACAATATTCGACTTTGAGAATAACATCAAATCTAGACCTTTTGCACAAAAAACAGCTTCAAGTAAATTTTATGAATTTAATATTCATAATAATGTACTTTTTATAATGCATTTTTTATACCAAAGAAAAGATATCTCACAATCAATGTTGTCTCTTTAAAATTGATTAAATTACATATAAAAAATATATTATACATATAATAGACATAGAGATGGTATTTTTATTACGGAAATTAGTTTCTTTCGCAATTGTTTGATTCGCTTACCTTAAGTGCGCAAAAGATGCAAGATTCTCGCATACAAGCATGTCCGGAAAGTTCTCTGAAACTCCGTCGAAAAATGTCAAGATGCCACAGAACCTGAAATAAAATCAGAAGAGCTTATGATAATTTTTTCACATAAGTATACTTACTCAAATAAAAATTTTTCAGAAAATGTCTAGCAAAAATAAATATCTTATATCTGTAAAATAAAAAGTTATATTTCTTTCTCTCCTCCCAAAATTTTATATTTATTATTATTATTATTGATTGTATAACATTTATCATTCTCAAAAGATTATAAAGTCTACACGTACATAAGCGTACCTACAATTTGACAATTTTAGCAATTATATATATTAATTTGCTCTGTCAAATTATACGCTATTAGTCGTTACGTGCATGACTAAATTTCGGCATCGGCTCTGAATGAATTTATCGTATCCTTTGCATTAGCATGTACGGCGTCGAGACAAAAAAGGTAACACGTGGGTGCACACGTAACACAAACGAACATGTAAATGTATCGGGACCCTCTATATGGCATCGATCTACACCCATATACGACAGTAACCCAGTGTATCATGAGCGCATTATTATACCGGGGGAAAGTAAATCACGATTTCCGTACTCATGTCCTGCCGTATAGCGGAACATAACTTCCCTTTTCCTGCGTCACAATGTGAAACAATATTCGACTTTGAGAATAACATCAAATCTAGACCTTTTGCACAAAAAACAGCTTCAAGTAAATTTTATGAATTTAATATTCATAATAATGTACTTTTTATAATGCATTTTTTATACCAAAGAAAAGATATAAACATACTTTATATAAAATAAAGTATATTCTATAATTGCGCGCTATACATGTCCATTGTAAAATAAACTTTGTAATAATTTAAATTTAACTGTCTAAAACGTAATAATAATATAATGCGATAAAAAATTTATTTAACTATCGCGTCATCGTTAAAGCACAGATATTTATGCAGAAAGTGTTTTCATTGAATGGGCGTATGTTGAAATAATCGTGAGATTAAAAAAATAAGAAAAAAGATCTCTTCAGAAAAAGTATGGACAACATAATCTTCAAATCTGAATGGAATCTTCATAAGAAAAAAAATGCGTCATTAAAAACAATATAATATTTATACTAGTAATCTCAGCAACGAGATTAAAAAAACAAGAAAAAAGATCTCTTCAGAAAAAGTATGGACAATATAATCTTCAAATCTGAATGGAATCTCCACAAGGAAAAAGTGCGTCATTAAAAACAATATAATATTTATACTAGTAATTACAGCAACAAAAATTTTAAAAATTTTTATAGATATTAATAGAATATAAAATCACAGAGATTTTATATTATATTTTTCTTATGTTTTGATTATATTTAAGTCATTTATTATATAATTATTGTATTATCAAATTATATGTGTATGTACTTTTATAATTAATTATTAAGAAAATTAATACACGCGCATACTGTTTTCTTATTGCTGTTCTTATACCGCAAATGCTTCTTCTTTTCTGGAACTTCGCCGCGAAATTATAATTTTA